TGACATCAAGGGTGACATTTTTGAGGAGTAGGTGGACCTTGACATCACCTGTACCTATTTCTCCTAGGCTGTTGTGAGAGAGAGAGAGAGAGAGAGAGAGAGATTAATGGCTATGTGACTACTCGAGTGTTAATTTTGTCTCCTAACTAACATTAACCTAACGTATCTAGTTAAGGTAGAGTCTCTGTTATTCTGAAACCATTGTGCTTTTGGGGGGGGGGGAAGGAGGGGGATTGTGACGTCATACTTAACACCGTAGCTTAAATAAAACCGGTTACGTTAGTTCCTTCATCTTATATTACTTAGAATTTTAATCATAAGATGGCTTACGAGACCACTTTTCTGCCGTGTTATTAGCAATGGGTGGGAGGGTGGGTGGGTGTGGGTGACTAGACTTACTACCACACCACCAGACGAGACGGAGTGAGAATAACGAGGCGCCTTGGAACTCACCTGACCAAATAAAGTTATATTGAACCCAAAACACCGGAGACCCACCCACTCCCCCCATTAGAACCTACTTTGGCACCTCTAATGGGTTCTCACCTTTTAATGGGTCGCTACCTTCATTAAATTTGTGGTTCAATTGTAATGGGTTCTCATCTTTTAATGGGTCACTACCTAACCCATTAAATTTTAGGTTCAGTTCTAATGGGTTCAGGTGAAATAAGCTAGGGTGTCCAATCTTCAGGTGATCCTACAACACCAGTGATAGTCATGTCCCCCCCCCCACCCCTTTTTGGGGAGGGGGGAGAAAAGGGGTGGGGGAGGGCGTGGTGAAAGATGATCAAGAGGAAGGGAAAGGGGGGTGGGGGTTAGGGGTTAAAAGGTAGGAAACCTAATGACAATCAGCCCCCCATGAGGTAACGTGAGGGGCTGATGTCTGCTAGATGGAGTCCACGTTGACACAGAGAGAGAGAGAGAGAGACAGAGAGAGAGACAGAGACAGAGAGAGAGAGAGAGAGAGACTCGCACGTTCCATAAATTAACACCAGGTGGCGCTTTATACTAACCCAAGCCAATAATAATAATATACCACTTAGCTCACACACCATTATGAGTCACGACAACCTAACCTAACACCATTATGAGTCACGACAACCTAACCTAACACCATTATGAGTCACGACAACCTAACCTAACACCATTATGAGTCACGACAACCTAACCTAACACCATTATGAGTCACGACAACCTAACCTAACACCATTATGAGTCACGACAACCTAACCTAACACCATTATGAGGTCACGACAACCTAACCTAACACCATTACTGAGTCACGACAACTAACCTAACACCATTATGTCACAACAACCTAACACCATTATGAGTCACGACAACCTAACCTAACCCCATTATGAGTCACGACAACCTAACCTAACACCATTATGAGTCACGACAACCTAACCTAATCCCATTATGAGTCACGACAACCTAACCTAATCCCGTAACCATCTAGCCTACACACCAAATGAGTCACAACCTAACCTAACCAAACCTTTCCTATGTGGTTCGGTTGGTTGACATTGGTTGAACTTTTTTTTGGGTGGCCCCTCAAGTTATTATTCAAGAGGGTTGAATTGTTGAACAGGGGAGGGGGATATTTTACGTTGGTGTGTGTATGTGTGTGTGTGAGCTTTGAATGTGTGTGTGTGTGTGTGTGTGAGGCAGCAGATAATGTGTATTGATGACTGTGTGTGTGTGTGTGGAGCGCGAATATGTGTGTGTGTGTGTGTGTGTGTGTGTGTGTGTGATCCTCTCCCGGCGCAGTGTGTCTTATTGTGGTCTCCCCCCTTGCCAAACCCTCTGCTGGGCTTCCTCCATCATCGCCACCTTCCTCTCCTCCCTAGGGGGTTAAAGGGTGTCACCTCACTTCCTGCCCTTCTACAACACGCATGGCCAACACGTGGTCCGGTTCTGACTCTACCCCACCTCCTCGCCCTGCCGCTGGATAGCTTCAAACATAGGTTGAATGGGTATATGAGCGATAGGGGTTGGGTGTAAACGCGGGACTGCTCAATATGGACCAATAGGCGTGATAATAATTGTAGTAGTGGTGGTAATAGTGGTTGAGATGGTAACAGTAGTGATTGTAGTAATAGTACTAGCGATAGTGGTGCTGGGAGTAGACCGGATGTTGGTGGTAGCGGTAACTGATAGAGGTACTGGTGGTAGTTAATTACACACGGTGGTTGGATGGGGGTCGGTTGGAGAGAACTTACAATGGCCGGGTACAGGAGGGAGGAAAGGGGTGGGTCGGTGGGTGGGACGGAGGAAAGGGGGTCGGTCTGAAGGGGGGCGGGGCTGAGGAAGGGGGGGGGAGGTGGGAGGCATGACTCACAAAACCACCCCCACCACCTCTCCTCCCCCCCACCAACCCCTCACTACCGCATTACCGTCAAACTGAGACATTGGCAACAAAATCCTGTATACACACAACTTTTATTAAGAATCAAAGCGTGTTTTTAAGAGACACTAAAGGAATACTGTACAATCAAACGGCTTTTTTTTCTGAATACTAAAACTAATATAGACAAACACTGGGCAGTTTAAGATGCTTACAGATACAGGATACAGTTTAGTTAAGTAATTCCACTAAAACTTAATATACTGTATTATTTAGTAACTCCACCTCTAAACACCGAACCTAGCAACGGGTCTTCGAGAAACTACCAGACAAACATTGGACAGATCAAGATACCTTTTGTTTCCCTTCCTAAGAGCTATGAAATTATACATACTGTTAAAACCACCAACTATTAATATAACTTTCCTTCCTTCCTTTATGTAGATAGAAATGAATTCCCGCTATTTCATTTTTCTATCATTTCCTTCACGGTAAAGACAGGACAAAACCTTTCCCACATATGTAACTCCGTGCCAAGGGTACCAGAAGCTTCCACGGTCACCCCCCCCCCCCCTCCTCGAATGTGAAAACTGGGCTGGGAAATTTCTTAAAGGGGAGGACGCCATGCACTAGACCAGAACGTACATGTGTGTATGTGTGTGTATGTACGTGTATTAGTGAATCGTAGGTACACATAATAACTTAGGTCTTGTTGCATCATTCACTAACGTCTTAATTTCCCACTAAAATATCTATGTTTTCTAGTTAACGAAGCCATATATAGCGAATGGTTAGTCACCTGAAGATTAACCATCCCAGCTTATTTCACCTGAAGATTAACCATCCCAGCTTATTTCACCTGAAGATTGACCATCCCAACCTATTTTACCTGAAGATTGACCATCCCAACTTATTTTACCTGAAGATTGACCATCCCAGCTTATTTCACCTGAAGATTGACCATCCCAACTTATTTCACCTGAAGATTAACCATCCCAGCTTATTTCACCTGAAGATTAACCATCCCAGCTTATTTCACCTGAAGATTGACCATCCCAACTTATTTCACCTGAAGATTAACCATCCCAGCTTATTTTACCTGAAGATTGACCACCCCAGCTTATTTCACCGGAAGATTAACCATCCCAGCTTATTTCACCTGAAGATTAACCACCCCAGCTTATTTCACCTGAAGATTGACCACCCCAGCTTATTTCACCTGAAGATTGACCACCCCAGCTTATTTCACCTGAAGATTAACCACCCCAGCTTATTTCACCTGAAGATTGACCACCCTAACACTATGGGGATGAGGTTAGGTCAAAGGTAGTTAATCTTCGGGTGAAATAAGCTGGGGTGGTTAATCCTCAGGTGAAATAAGCTGGATTAAATAAACCCAACTTAATCTTATTACCAGCTTATCACTCATTTCCTCTTCAACCGGATTAAACCACACAAACCAGTTTTATCTTATCATGGGAGGTTAAAACGGTCCTAACTGTTTTATATATTAACGGGCTTAAACTCTTATAAGTAATCTTGACTATATTGATAAACAGGTAATTGGGTGATTTAGTAGTAATTAGGTGGTTGAGTCATTAGCCAAGGGATTATTTATCGTAAGTGGGAATAAATAGTTCTAACCAGTAACAAAAAGTAGCATTAATAAACTAGATAAAGTAACAAAGGAACAATCAAATCACAGCGAGTAACAGCAAAATACCACTACACTATAACTACCCTAACTAGACAATCCCTTAACTACCAATTTGTAGTCAAAATTACCTCATTAAAAATACGTCACCTTGTTTAAATCACCTTGGGGGAGCTAATTTGATAGCATTTTCAACCTTATTCTTGTAATTTAATGAAACTTTACTCAGTTAACGATACATTCAGACTATTTAGATCAATGGTAATTACTCTCAGGTTGTTTTATTGTATTTCATGAATATACAATAACCTACAATAATACAATATGGTTTTTGTTTTAATAAATTTCTCACTAATAACACCAAAACGAGGAACTTAGGAATTATTTAAAATGTACAGTAATCCAGTTCTGGTTTCTACACCGGCCAGCTGATTCTAGGTGACACGTGATATACTGTACTGTTATATCTCCCGTTATACTCCCAATATAAACCTTTCTGTGTAATATATATCCAACATACCTGCTGCTAACACGCTGGGATTCACCAATACCGACAAAGTTGTTAGTAGAAGTCATGATGGTGGACACTGTTAAAAGAACCTTCCTTGATGGTGGCTTCTATCACACTGTTGCTTTACCGCCAAAACTCCCCTGACTACAATATCGTTACCAGTTTTCCTTTATAAAATAATCATTATCGAGTATATGATGATGTATATGAGTTAGTAAGTATTTTTAGTGGATATATTTCTATTATAACTTATTTTATACTGATATATAAGTAGTGATAAATGGTTAAAAAGGTATTATTTTATTGAACTGTTGGCATCACTAGCTTTTGCAGTTTTCTTTCTCGTAATTAGGTTTTTTATGGATATAGTTTAAATTCCTATATGCTTTTTAATTTTGGATTTGAATAAATTTGATATAATCAGTTATTAAATTTGAATTAGATATTGTTGTTGAATTTCCTGATTTTACAGCTTTAGGGAGTAAACGCCAGGGAGACAAGAGGCAGTGATATCTTTTACCCCGAGTTTTGTGAGCTAATTTAACTCTTATTTCACACTGACACCATTTATCAACATGTGTTCTACATTGACAAAGTCCTTAAGAAGTCCCCTAAAACAAATTATTACCTCTAAACAAATCAAGTGTCGAATAATTAGTAGAAATAACGTGCCACTTGATCAAAGACACCCTGTCAAATTTTACTCTGGATTTACTTTGACGACTTTAAATAAGAGACAGAAATATATCAGACAATTTAATCTCTTTAATCTCTGGTCCTCCTTATCCAGTAATAAAGATACACCTATATTAAAGACAGTAGAAGATGTTGCAGAGTTTATTAAAAATCAATGTTCTAATATCTTGGTGATGGCTGGAGCTGGTTTGAGTACTCCTTCTGGTATACCTGATTTTAGGTAAGATTTTGTGTGTAATAAGATATAAGAGATGAGATATATATTACTGATGTTACCTGCTGATATTAACGTGTATAATGTTCAATCAATTTACCATTTATCCAGATATAGATCAGGGTACGATAACCCCTTTAAGTTATTCAGCTATTACTAGTATTTACAGTGTACATAATTGGGTACTAATTTGGAATAGGGGTCTGGGTTAATCAGCAACAGTTTTCCTATTAAAAATTAATTTTTCGATGTAGCTAAGAAAGCTTTTATCATCTAGGGAATAATTTCTTCTGGTTAGTACAAAGGCTGGACCACTCTCTTAAAGTATAATCTTTCAGCATTTAAATATAAGAAGATCTAAGGAAAAACATGCATTGAAAATCCTCTGCTTTTTTGGGGATATTCTTGATGCAAGGAAGATATTACCTGTCTAAAATTACACAGGTTGTGGAGTATTACCTGTATATGTACATGTCAACATACTTATGCTGCACATACTGTACATCATGTTATGGTAGAGTATTATTTATTATATACCCTGCGGCAGAACACCAGGGACAGGCTTATACGACAACCTACAGAAGTACAACCTGCCATATCCCGAGGCTATTTTCGACATCCACTACTTCATGATGGATGCTCGACCTTTCTTCACATTGGGTTAGTTCCTCATCTTGCCGAGTTAGTAAGGTGTATTTTTCACCATCAAATGTATAGAATGTATAATAAATAATCTATCATGTATAGTATTTGTTTATTATCTGTGACATCTTGAGGGTTATTTTGGGTCAACTACTGCGGAGGTAGTTTAAAGGGGAGATGTCAGATGATGGGTTATTTTTGGGATTTTTGTCGCCCTTGGAAGAGTTAAGTGTTGATGTGGTACCTTAGATAGGGAAGAATAGTTTGTGTAATGTATCATCTCTCCCTGTCTGTATGTTGTAGGTTACAGTATCATCATAAAAATAAATTAATTGACATAGATGGAATAATCTTATGATATAATTGATGAAATTGTTGCTTATGGGTAAAAATTTCATAACTTATTGATTATAATCTCTGTTGTTGATATGGGTTCATGATCAATTAACTAATGTTTCATAGGAACTAGACATTACTTATTGTAGGTATTGTGTTGTTAACTGGCTTGAGTGTTCATGACTTGTACCTGACTGGCAACAAATTTTAATGGTGAATTGACTGTAAAATTCCACTTTATAACACCCATAAAAGAACACCTAGGGCCTCCTCCCCCAAGGTTCTTCCTCATAGGGTTACTGGTTGTGTGGTTCTGCTTCACACTGTACAGTAACTGAGCTTTACTCTTGAAGAATGGGCAGCACACACATTGTAGTCATTAGTTCCCAGCCGTCGAGTGCCTTCACCTTCTTGGAACCAACCTCTTTCATTAAGCGCTGGTGTTAATTTATGAGGATGAATCATGGCTTTAACCCCAGCAGCTGAAAATGGGACTTGAGTATCTTTACACAATCTTTATTTGAATATTTTGCAGACCTTTCATTTTTGTGAGGGTTTAGGATGATAAAGTTTGGACATGTGAGGTTCTTTTGAGACTATCTGTAGTGTTATGACCTGCATTCAAAGCCACGGTTAATACCCTAATTTTATAAATATTGTACAGTACTGTAATTCCTATTAAACAGTGCTGGTAAATCATTGTTATTGGAATACCTGTAGTGTACAGTAAAGGTGGAGACTGTTATATAATTGATTGATATACTGTATCGTCGATCAGTTTTATAATGTTAAAAAATTAACCCCATATACAGTACTGTTTTAAGAAATTAACACCATATACAGTACTGTTTTAAGAAATTAACACCATATACAGTACTGCTTTAAGAAATTAACACCATATACAGTACTGTTTTAAGAAATTAACACCATATACAGTACTGTTTTAAGAAATTAACACCATATACAGTACTGTTTTAAGAAATTAACACCATATACAGTACTGTTTTAAGAAATTAACACCATATACAGTACTGCTTTAAGAAATTAACACCATATACAGTACTGTTTTAAGAAATTAACACCATATACAGTACTGTTTTAAGAAATTAACACCATATACAGTACTGTTTTAAGAAATTAACACCATATACAGTACTGTTTTAAGAAATTAACACCATATACAGTACTGTTTTAAGAAATTAACACCATATACAGTACTGTTTTAAGAAATTAACACCATATACAGTACTGTTTTAAGAAATTAACACCATATACAGTACTGTTTTAAGAAATTAACACCATATACAGTACTGTTTTAAGAAATTAACACCATATACAGTACTGTTTTAAGAAATTAACACCATATACAGTACTGTTTTAAGAAATTAACACCATATACAGTACTGTTTTAAGAAATTAACACCATATACAGTACTGCTTTAAGAAATTAACACCATATACAGTACTGTTTTAAGAAATTAACCTGCTCCAGTGTTGGTCAAGTCTGGCTTTGAAACAGCTCACACTTGGTGCGGTTATCACCCTGTGGCTACCTGAATGCTTTTCCTACATTGTCACTGCTATGAAAAATGATGTTTAATAACTCACAATATTCCGAGAAATGATAATGCAATCTTGGAATGGTGTAACATGTGCAACCCATGTGGGATGTATGAAAGGTTCTGCACATCCCTGGTGACTGACAGGCTGAGCACATAACAGTAAAAACTAAATGAAGAAATTTACGTATGTCTACCCAAGATTACGAGTTGAAAAATAACTGTTCTGAGGGTCCCAGAAACAGAACCTATTTCTCCCCAGAAGTTATTAATATCGATAGACGATTAATCACCTTATGATGGTTTTTCAGTATCCCTAACCCCATCGTATAACAGTCAACACCTGTACAGTACTTTCATTTGTAGCTCTGTTCTGCCCCCAACTCTCCTCACTTCACACCAGTCTCAAGTCGCGTGTGCAGGAAGTAAATTGTTTAATAAATGATCATATTTTTATTATAAATCACATTTTTCACCAAGATTTAGTTTAAATATTAAGTAAAAAAAAAAATGGGTTTAAGTGAATTCTAGTGTAATATATTCTGGCTCTAGAACATAACCCCAGTTTCACTATACACAGTTAATTTACAGGTTATAACGCAGTGAATTGGGCAGCCTCCACTGTAATAACTATAGCAATGAATTTATAAATGAAGCATCAAAACCAAAAGGTAATAATATTTTAATTAATCAATATATCTCCTCACCCAGCTCAGGATCTCTACCCCGGAGTGAATTACAAACCGAACGTGGGTCATCGTTTCCTCCGGTTATTACACGAGGAGAAAAAACTGCAGATGGTGTACACGCAAAACATCGATGGTCTCGAGAGATGTAAGTACCAGTTTTATTGATTTTTTAATGTCATTTAATAGTCTCAAGAAAAAAGCATCACTTCTCGAGTTCATAAAGTGATCAATGTAAATTCAGATAAACTAAAAGTGCTTAATATTTCTTACCTGTGTTTTGAGTAAGTGTCTCACATACAGTACACAGTTCCTGACACTATTCTTATACTGTTGATGTTCTGTTTTTATAATTGTTTTTTAGTTCATTGTACCTCCTTACCTGTTCCCTGTTATACTGTACTGATTGACCATACCAGTTTGGATTAAGCGTGTGTATGGCAGTGCTAATAGGAGTATTGTATAGCCATGGGATTAAGTGTGTGTATGGCAGTGTTGGAAAAGGCAGACCAAGTGCAATTCCTGTATTTTAAGTCATCGGATTTAAGGGTTTAAAATCATCATACTCAAGGGTTAAAATCATCATACTCAAGGGGTTAAACAACATCAGTAACATAAAATATATTTACCCCCACTCCTTGCCTGATAGCTTTCATATTCAGTGACTCATGAACTTGCCACACCAGGATAAATTCACTCAGTAAATGTATGTTATATCCCGTGTATGGTGAAGCTTATACTGATAATTTATTCCACAGTGGCAGGAGTACCAGATTCAAAGCTGATGGAGGCTCATGGTACCTTTGCTACAGCCTCCTGCACACTCTGTGGTAAAATACACAACCCTGACAGAGTTAAAGAAGCGATCATAGATGGAGATATTCCAATAATGTGTGAAGCTGCCATGTGTAAGGTACATTGAATGGGAGGGAAGAGCCAGAGGGTGTATTGTGTATTAGAGTATTTGTGTCGGCCAGTCTTTACTTTCTGTGATTTTTCAGTTTTTATGGAAGCTGGTTAATGTTTACAGTTTTTGGTTATTACGTGGTTAATTACTATACATGTAAAGAAGCCTGGATTATGGCCGTTAAATGATTATTATGATGATGGTAGATACTGGTTGTAGTTTTGGTCATCTTGGGTCATCAGTAAGGCTCATGTTTAGACCTAACTTTCCGCCTTATCCACAGGGTAAGGTTAAGCCTGATGTCGTCTTCTTTGGTGAAAATCTTCCGTCTTCATTCTGGGACTACCACCACCATGTACACTTCACTGATCTTCTGCTTGTCATTGGGACTTCTCTGGAGGTGATTATAATGTTTTGTTACACACTTGATAGCTCCTTCAGTCACGAATACCCGGTAACTTGTCTCCTTAGATGTCCAGTGAAAACCATTCCCTGTGGGTCTGGTGTTAGTACAGGAGGAAACTAGAATACTTGGAAGAAAACCTCTGATAGGGTCATAGTGGGTAATATTTACTTACATCCAACTCAAGTTACAGTGTTGAGAGTTAAGTATGATTACTCCTTCATATACAGTGGTCCCTCGGTTAGCGAGATTTCGGTTAACGATTTACCTTCCATAAGATTCTTAACTTCGGTTAACGAGCAATCCCTCGATTAACGATTTTTTTACAAGCCAACCTCACCATGTTTTCGCTTGCATTTGGCGGTCCACCAGCTGTAGTATTAGTCCGCCAATACAGTAATCGGTTTTAGGGCTTAAATTCCTTACTATTTTAGTAAATATCAAGAAGTTTATACTATTCAATAATTTTAAAAGTTTAATATTAAATTTTTTAGTCATTTTAACAATTATTGAACATAATTGAAGGTAAAGAAACAGTGGTTTCGGTTAACAAGCAACCTGCTGGAACGGATTGTGCTCGTTAACCGAGGGACCACTGTAATATGTTCCAAGTAAGTGGTTTGGAATTGTATGTGACCCTGTATCAAGGTCTTACATTATTACCATTGATGTTATTTGTATTTATTATGGCAATTAAGCCATTGGGGAGGGGAAAATTTTACCATTCACTAAGCAAACTGACCTTCAAATACCAAACACATATTTTACGTAGGTAATATATTGAGTACACGTGTTAATTCGAAGTTCATTTACATTCCAGGTTTACCCCTTTGCCGGGATAGTAGACACCGTGGGGAAAACAACGCCGAGGGTGCTGATAAACCTCAACAGCGTAGGCAGCTTGGGCAGTCGCAGCAATGATGTTATTCTTGCTGGTGATCTTAAAGACAGTATTTGGAGTTTAACTAAAGCATTGGGTTGGGAAGAAAAACTGAAAAACCTTGAAGAAAAGTATGATAGTAGTGAAGAATAACAACAAATTCTTCATAACTCTGTACAGCATAGTTTAATATTGTTAAATATATACATTATATTTTCCAGTGAGAGAGATAGAGATCACAAGATGTATGCTGTACAATTACAGAACCCAGAATACAATGAGTTATCACATCTGACTTACTGACTCACCTGCCCTTGTTCAAATTACTGTATTGTCACAAATGGATGAAGTTGTGGATACAAATTCCTGATGGCATCGCTCAGAATCAACACCAATGACATGAATCTGTAAGTAAATCTGTAAATTATAGCTACATTTTCTTAACATCTTTACCATAGGAAACATATATTCTGAAAAATTTAAATAAAATTAGTACAGTAGAATGTTGATTTAAAGCGATTCAATTTAAGATTATTGATTTAAAGCGACACCCACAATTAAGGACTGTTTTAATTTAAAGAAAATCTTTCCTATTTTGCACGAATCAATCTGGTACATCATATTTTAAAATTCGCGCCTAATGTTTCTCTGGGCACACTACACTGTCCTAAGGGCGAAGCTGTACTGTACATGTACTCAAAATAATGTACTAAATGATTACTAAAAGTTTTGATTCGTGCAAACTATAGCATGTTTACATTCAAATTAATCACTATCTTATAAGAATTCCAGCAATGTAAATTATATTCTCCCCGGTTACTTCTGTGACATTTTATAAACAAAAACTCAATCTAAATGACAAATAAAAAAAAAAAAATACTTCACAAGACCTTCCACCCTCACTGTCACCTCCCTCCTCCCCTCCCCCCAATCTTCCCAGCCAGGGTTGGGTCCTTATAGGCTTAAAGTTTTTATCTCATAAAATATCACAGATTGAAGTTCGAATATAATTTGCTTTGCTAGAATCCTCGCAAGACAGCGAACAATTTGAATATAAACTTCATATTTTGCACAAGAGATAAAAATTTTAGCCCTTTGTAATAAAATTAATTAGAACAGGTCAGTTCAGTTACATTTTATAAGAGAAAACTGAAAGTCACTCTTAAGAACGGATAAATAAATAAGCACTAGACCTTGGCTTCGACTGTCAAACATATCACCTCACCTCCCCCATCAGCTGATCGCTAGTAAACAGACCATTTCACGTCCCATAATTTTAGCTGTGTTGATTTTTGAGTGTTTGTTTTAACATAATACTACAAAAAATAATGTTTCGTTTATTCTAGGAGATAGGCCGAGGTGCATCTGGGTAGACTCTCAGTCCTTTTCAGTATTTTGTGTTTCTCTCAAGTACTGTACCAAACTAAATTATTCCATTGAAACAACACTTTGATTTAGTGCGAATTCGGTTTAAAGCGACTTCTCTTGGAACGTATCTCGTGTTATATCGACGTTCTACTGTAATCTTAATGGTAGTAACAGTAATCAATCATATTTATTTTATTTTAGTGTTTCTTGATTTGGACATTATAGGACTATGAACAGTGTTTTAAAAAATTCAGAAAGTTTAAAAATCTTGAACATATGGTACAAAATTGTGGTGATTTATTCTGTAAGCACTACATGATGTTTAATATGAGAGCTGATGCCTTCCATAGCTACTGAATGACCCAAGTGGTGCAAGGAAACATCATGCCTGGGCACTTCACATCTGTTCCACCAACATGTCTTCTGTGTTTAGTCTCTACTTAACCACAGTTTCTTCTGTTCATGATTTGTAGTTTTGTGACACTTAAGCTGTCATAATGGTTTCCAGCAGCAGTTTTAGTAGGAAGCACTTAAGAAAAACTGGAATTAAAAGTTAAATGTGGGACACCAACCCACCTTTGCATCCCTCACTCATTTATTTGCATGTTCCATTAACACTCACTCCTTGTGTAGTCCATTTTCACTCATACAGTATTTGTACAATTTGTAATAATGTAGTTGACAGTGATCTCAAATATAGTGTTAATGATTCTAGGAAGACGCATCCCAGAAAAGACTAATATGATAGAACTGAATGTGATGTAAATCTTCAACTGTGATTCTGGCAATTGCAGCCTCAGGGTTAAGAAAATAAGGTTAGTTTACTAAATTATAGTTTATACTGTATGTGTATCTTTATTCTTAGGTACTACAGGTATAGAGAATAGCGTGGTTATTTGTGAATGGGGTAAGCATAAAATTAGTAGCTTTGCCTTAGTTATACAAAATATCTTCTCAGGGTATAAGGACCATCTTCAGTTATTCCAGATATTTATAGGAGGATCTGGAATATGGGAATACTGGTAAAACCTAAAATGTGTGGCAAACTTCCTTAGCTTCTGTAGGCCAAAGCTATCATTGGTTATTTAACTGTATTCTGGATGAAGGTGTCAGGCCTGTGTATCCAGAACTGCATCCACCTGCTGGATAGTACAGTAAGTGGTACAGTACTAAATCAGGTGGAGTAGTAATGGTAGTACAAATGTTCAGGGCTCTGTAATTGTAATACTCATCTTAGTCTGGTGTCAGCACGTATGTTTATGATTAATTAATGTTTAAAATAACTTAATATTTACTCATTGAATTTTAACAAATCGTATGTTATTTATTCAAGTTACTGTGTTTGCTTTAAGATATGCTATATGGTACTGTACTAACCTCCATAGACCATCCAACCAGAGAGACCTTAGTTGTTTTAGTGCAGGAATACACTGTAACACCAACACCATATACTATTCTTGTTTAGTATCAAGAGCAAGGAAACAATTTATAATTAAGAATATAAATTTCCCTTTATCTTGGAACAAAATAAATAGTGTAATAGAAGGACAAAGTTAATTAAAAGAAGAGCATTTTTACACGTGTACGGAGCTGTCAGGTTACAGTTGGTACAGTACTGGTCAGTTTGTTCTGTGTGGAGACTCGTTACATAGTTCTACAGTACCCAGAATAAAGGCAGTACTCACCACACCAGTGATACTCACCATAGTGGCACACTCACCACACCAGTGACACACACACACCATAGTGACACACTCACCGCACCAGTGACACACACACACACCATAGTGACACACTCACCGCACCAGTGACACACACACCATAGTGGCACACACTCACCATAGTGGCACACTCACCATACCAGTGACACACACACTCACCATAGTGGTACACTCACACCAGTAACACACACTCACCATAGTGGCACACAAACCACACCAGTGACACACACACACACACACACCATAGTGACACACTCACGCCCAGTGACACACACACACGCACCATAGTGGCACACACACTCACCATAGTGGTACACTCACCACACCAGTAACACACACTCACCATAGTGGCACTCTCACCACACCAGTGACACACACTCTCACCATAGTGGTACTCACCACACCAGTAACACACACTCACCATAGTGGTACACTCACCACACCAGTAACACACACTCACCATAGTGGCACACTCACCACACTAGTGACACACACACTCACCATAGTGGTACACTCACCACACCAGTAACACACACTCACCATAGTGGACACTCACCACACCAGTAACACACACTCACCACACCAGTGACACACACACACACCATAGTGGCACACTCACCACACCAGTGACACACACCATAGTGACACTCACCACACCAGTGACACACACACACGCCATAGTGGCACTCACCACACCAGTGACACACACCATAGTGACACACTCACCACACCAGTGACACACACCATAGTGACACACACCATAGTGACACACTCACCACACCAGTGACACACTCACCACACCAGTGACTCTCTCCATAGTGACACACACTCACCACACCAGTGACACTCTCCATAGTGACACACACACCACACCAGTGACACTCCATAGTGACACACTCACCACACCAGTGACACTCTCCATAGTGACACACTCACCACACCAGTGACACACTCTCCATAGTGGCACACCACCACACCAGTGACACACACTCCATAGTGGCACACCCACCACACCAGTGACACACTCCATAGTGGCACACTCACCACACCAGTGACACACACACACCATAGTGGCACCCCACCACACCAGTGACCACACACACACACGCCATAGTGGCACTCACCACACCAGTGACACACTCACCACACCAGTGACACACTCCATAGTGACACACCTCACCACACCAGTGACACACACTCTCCATAGTGACACACCCACCACACCAGTGACACACACCATAGTGACACACACCATAGTGACACACTCACCACACCAGTGACACACTCACCACACCAGTGACTCCCTCCATAGTGACACACTCACCACACCAGTGACACTCTCCATAGTGACACACCACCACACACCAGTGACACACACCATAGTGACACACTCACCACACCAGTGACACTCTCCATAGTGACACACTCACCACACCAGTGACACACACTCCATAGTGGCACACTCACCACACCAGTGACACACACTCCATAGTGGCACACCCCACCACACCAGTGACACACACACTCTCCATAGTGACACACTCACCACACCAGTGACACTCTCCATAGTGACACACACACCACACCAGTGACACACACCTCCATAGTGGCACACTCACCACACCAGTGACACACACCTCCATAGTGACACACTCACCACACCAGTGACACACCATAGTGACACACACCATAGTGACACACTCACCACACCAGTGACACACTCACCACACCAGTGACTCCATAGTGACACACTCATCACACCAGTGACACTCCATAGTGACACACTCACCACACCAGTGACACACACTCCATAGTGGCACACTCACCACACCAGTGACACACACACTCCATAGTGACACACTCACCACACCAGTGACACACACCATAGTGACACACACACCATAGTGACACACTCACCACACCAGTGACACACTCACCACACCAGTGACTCTCTCCATAGTGACACACTCACCACACCAGTGACACCTCCATAGTGACACACACACCACACCAGTGACACACACTCCATAGTGACACACTCACCACACCAGTGACACACACTCATAGTGACACACTCACCACACCAGTGACACACACCATAGTGACACACACCATAGTGACACACCACCACACCAGTGACACACTCACCACACCAGTGACCTCTCCATAGTGACACACTCACCACACCAGTGACACTCCAT